TCTCTGAAATAGACCAGTTTTGACGCGACTTTTTTTGTCAAGAAGCCGATGTAATAAGGAGTAACTTAGGCTACTTTTATTTTTAAAAACAAACTTAAATTCCACGCGGTCGTCGTCGCGTGAACAGCTAGTTTAAGCTAAAATCACAAATGTACTTTTCTTTATATTTTTAATTAAACTTAATTAAACTTTTAATTACCTAGCTATTCAGGTAACAAACATAGAAAATACTTCATCCTTTTAAAAATCAATTATCTATCCAGCTAATAACAAATGACCTAGCATCAATTCACACAATACAATTTCAACGAATCAATAATTCATATTCGATAATGTTATTCACTTGTCAGTGGGGGCTCAGACACAATTAAGTGTCGCCCCCGCCCTCCTGGCAATATTGAACAATTACGCAGTTAAACGCCCCAAGATTTCACCTCCCACGCGGACTTTGAACAAGATAGAAGAGCCTTACGAATGCGATATTTACATCTTTACCTATGTTAATGATATAGATATCACAGAATGATACAGAACGCTGTAAAATGTTTGACTGTTTACAAGAGACTTCAGTTGGGAGAGAGAGATTTATTTTAAATTGTTACAAACTTTGTGACTACGGATTTTAATCCAAATATTTACTTATATCTTATTAAGAAAATTTAATCAGTTTTTCGTCAGACTTACAAAAATCATTTCTATTCACACAGCAATAGATACACGTACATCATTGTACTTAGAATGTACTAGGTCATTTTAATTAGGTATTTCTAAAATATATACTAGATAATTATATAATGGATGTTACTTTAACAGAAAATATATATACCTAATTATAGTTAGGTACAGATTGATTGTGATTAATGTAAACGTTCAACAACCTGTCATCCAGGATGAGTTTACCATATCTCATTATTTAGTAGAATCTATCTACTTCTAGCCAAACTAATCCAGCTGGCCTTTACAACTTAACCGGATAAAACGTACTCTACCTAATATCTTATAGATAATCAATAACGCTATAAGTATAAGCTAAATATAAGTTACCTAAGTATCCTCCAACAAAACAACAAAGCACTAGAAACATTTATCAAGCCGCGTAGTAGTAGCTCGCTCTATTATTAGAACCTAAATGCGAAGGCGAGAAGGGCCACGAAAACATCACAATTTGCGGGCCCCACAAAGGGAACATCTTTCTTAGGAGCCGCAGTAAAAATCTGTTGCGGAAGTACCTACCGCGCAGATGGAGATGAAGCTAACGAGCGCGCCACGCGGTGAACGTTCTGATTTCCAATTCAAAGGAAAATTGCGATCCATAGTGGAAAGGGTGGCACTCAGGGAGGCTGGGTGGGGTGCCCCCCTACGCGTTGCTACGCGACGCGGGGAGGAGCCGCCGCAATCACTGCCCAATGGCACGACGGATATAAATTGCTCTTGCGACGCGACACTGATGCCAGAATGGGAGGCTTTCCCCGCACTCGCTCGCACTAATGAAGTCGCCGGTCGCCGGTCCCCTTGATTGACGGACTCGCGGCCCTTTTTCGAAATGCTATACCTAAGTTCGGCTCTGGTGTGCCGTGATTTGTGAAGGTAATTACCTATTGGGCTGCCGCGTTTGTGATAGCCTTGCGTCTCTGTGAACAATACCTACTATACAGGCAGTAGACGATAAGAGCTGTATAGTAGACTAATAAATCGAATTTATTACTATTAATTAAATAACAATGTTAATCTAACACCTAATTAAGTAAAGTACCTTTGTCGTTTAATTATTTATACGTAGTAATAAGGTTAGCAGGTAAACCCGCTTATCGGAACGTTGGTTAGCAACGTACGACTGTTAATAATTAAAATCCAGTGCTTAATTGTATTTTAGTTTATAATTATGTATGTTCTAAAAGTATGGGTGTTCGTATGTTTCCAATAAGTCTGAGTGAGGAAAAATCAGTACTGCCACTTAAAAATAATAATAAAAATAGAAACTACTGAGAGCTTATATTCATAGTATACTAGAAGAAGTGGTATGAATAAGTCTTTTTATAAAAATAGCATTGGATTGTTGGATTTAAATTAAATTATTAAAACGTATATTGTTAGCTTATTGATTCCGACTAGAAAGATAATGTATATTAGGCGACATCATAACTTGGTTATAACAAGTCGCTAGGTAAATTGAAGTATTCAACACAGACAGTAACGATTGTTACAAAATCAATCGTTGTTATAATATTACGGTCTTTGAGTTACTGAATATATTCCAAATTTATAGAATTTACTCTTCAGTTTGTACCCACAGTAATTTGAATACTATTATTTACATTAAATCATATTAAAATTACTGAGTAGGTTATTAATTATATTTTAGTTCATAATTACGTAGGTATTCCATTTCTAAGTATATACACATACTAAAGTATTTGCCTTACTATTGTTTCTGCTCTGACCGTAGGTGACACTGTTTTTTAGCAAACATTTTGTACAGAACATTTACCGAGGAGCACTAAACCTAAATTTACTAATACTCAGTTGTTCTAAGCAACAGTTTCTAATTTGAGACATTTTAGTAATGTTTTTTTTATTATATTAATTGAATACTTAGTTTTCCTTCACATTTTTATAGAAAACAATGTTGTTTTCTATAAAAATACATATGTTAATATATATTACGAAACAACATGTTTAAAATGTAGGTAGGTGCCTAAATCAGGCACGTTTTCTTTATGAAATTAATAATTTCCTCCTATCCAACGGGCACAAAGGAAGCGGAGATTAAATTGAACGCGACGAAAGGCATTTGCAGACAATAGGAAACAAAAGCTGGCTGACAATAAAGCGCTTTATTAAATTCCGTCGGCGCTGAATCACGATACAGATAAAGTTTTAATATACTAGAACGATGGTGTCAGATAAGCTATAAATTTTTGTAAGTCCAGCGCTGGCCGCGCTTCGAATCCGTAATGCGGACTGGACCGCGCAGAGATTACGCAGACGTGTATTAATATGGGCGCACGTGGGCAACGGTCTTAACCTCATAGGGCTGCCACCACACCCAACAATAATCTATTATTTTTTACATATTTCACAACCTCGGTGGTCAAGCGGTTAATAAAATGCTATATTTAATTAAACTAATATTATAAATATTTTTAAAGGTACATAAAAAAAGCTGTATTATCAGGGTGTAACTTATGATGTTTGTATGTATTAGTATTAGTTTTATGTTTGTAAGGAATAGAACAAGCGGTAAATTTTATTTGTACCTTGCCACGATAAATTTGAAAACTGCGTCCAAATCCATTAAACAGTTTCCGAAATTAGTGCGCACAAACTCAGAGAGAAACAAATAAGCAGATAAGAATTCTAACCATCAGTATTGGCATCTACTACCTTGACAAAGTGAAGACTTTGTCAAGGTAGCCAATACTGATTATAAATTAGAAGTAATGATACATTTAACATATATCATGTATAGATACCATTGCGATACAATTAGTATTTGAACTAATAACCTATCATAATTATTTAGACTCTAACTATAATTATTAAATTGGCGAATATTATATATACTATTAAAACTAAGGTTAAGACACTAACATTTTAGCTATTTAAATAACAAAATCTAAGTGCACCATTACCCTACAAAACAAAATTTTCACAGCCCATTTTTTTGCGACTGACATCTTCATACCTAAAGCCCCACCGGTTAAATAGCTGGATTCTCAGAGGCTAAAAACCTAACGGCTATTCCTCCCAATACAAACTTTGCACAACCCTAAGTAAGAGGACACTATCCCGATCTCTACACGTCGTGAGATGCGGATCGATATGTCGGTGGGGCACGGATTATGTTAGCGCCACTTGGGTCAAACACTATGTTAAACTCATCTACCTATTTGCGGTAAACGTTAAATAACTAATAAATAGATCATATGTATAAATAGATAATCTGTCTGTATGTGGATAGATATTCTATCTTAAGTTACCTGTCGGCTGTTTCCGTTTTTGTTAGCAATGTCAGGTCGACCTCCACGCGGTCATACTGCAAACATCGCGCTAAATTCCTGGTGAATTTGTCACTATGGGCTAACTGACATGATCTCATATTCATCTTATAATCCTCCACAATCAGCGTAAACCGTTAGCACAGACGGGTGCAACATTCCATATCATCTATTGTACTACATCTGTACAAGTTACTATGTAGCACAGATAAGATAATATTACATATATGTACATAGTTATTTGTACAGTAGATATCTAATAAGTATAGATTTTTGAATAGCAAACAATTTATAATCTCACCTAATTTGCAACATATATTCCTTCGCCCTAGGGAACCGGTTGGCGGTCAAGCTGATGGCAGTCAACATATGCTCAACGTCAACATATACTAGCAATGGGATCATCAGTTCCTATGACTAACAATCCCCTTCTCCTCTCCCATTCCACTATTTTTTTTTTTTTATTCTTTATTGCACTTTAAAAGAGTGTACAAGAGGCGAGCTTAATGCCATATAGCATTCTCTACCAGCTAACCTTTGGGTAGAACTAGAAAGCGTTGTAGGGCAGTAATGGCAAAAATTTGTGATATTAATACTATAATAAATAATTAGGCAAACAAAATCTATGTACATATATAATTTATGTTATATAAATATAATATATACTTTAAATATACATATATATATATATATTGAAATATATAAATTATACAGAATAAATACATAAATACGCTAAATATAGTTGAAAGTACCTACTTAACTCAACGCCAAACAGTTAAAGCTCATTTTGACGACTCAACAGGTAATTAAATAGTTTCGTTTTAAAAATGGTCTTACTCGGTGCTCTACGCAGGTCTACAGGCATTATATTATAATATATATAACAGATTTTAATGAAACTTTACAGTAATATAGCTATAAATTTCAACGGGTAAAACCGCTGGTACTAGTATATAGTAAAATCCATCATGCCCTTTCTAAATTTACAATTATTGTTCGCAGGCGAGAAACCACACAAATGTCAAGTATGCGGCAAAGCTTTCAGCCAAAGCTCAAACCTGATCACTCATTCCCGCAAACACACGGGATTCAAGCCATTCGCGTGTGAACTGTGCGGGAGAGCGTTTCAGAGGAAGGTGGATCTTCGTAGGCATAGGGAGACGCAGCATGCAGATCTCAGGCCGGCACAGCATATGCAGCCGCCGCATACGGATGTACACCCCATGCATGCACAGGACTTACATGCGCACACAGATCACAGAATAGGTAAGTTATTAATGTAATAAAAATTATTTGATTTGATTTGAAAGTATTTAGATATGAACATATGATAGCTGTATATGAACACTTAGAATCTCGGACAGCTGTGTGTTTCAGTCTCACCTATTTCAGCCGCTAAACAACTTGCTCTGAAAGCTGTATTGGGTTGTAATGTGTAGATTAGACAGTGAAATTACAGGATAAGACTTATGATATCTGATCCTCTGGAATAGCAATGCATGAGTGTCATATAAAACAAAGCAATAGTTGACTTTCATGCTGTAAGGCATTCAGTTTAATATATATGACAATTTTATACAAAATATAATTATTTTATTAAAATTATTAGTCTTTAATTCATTGGCCCTGTCTTAAGACAAAATCTAAACAAATAAAAACTACATCTTGACGGCCTCGGTAGTTTAGCGACTTAGCTCATAACGCCATCTAGTCCCACAGTAAGCAAGCTTATGTTATGGGTACTCGACAAGTGATATAAATACTTATATATTTTTTATTTGTAAACACATACGTAATATACATAGTAAACATCTAGACCGATACAAAACAAAGAATTGAACCCGCGACCATCGGAAGTAAAACCCAGTGCTAAACTACTAGACCACCGAGTCCGTCATAAATAATCATACTCATGAATACAAATGAACCCGCGACTGTCGGAAGTAAAGCGATATTAACCGCTAGACCACCGAGTCCGTCGCCGAGGCTGTTTGTTTTTATTGATGAATTTTGGCTGTGTTAGTTAATGCATCTAACAATATTCTTGTCCCCACAGAACTCCGACCACCACATCCAGAACTGCGACCGCAACATTCAGACTTCAGACCGCACATGACCACCGCGGTGCCACCCCTGCAGCCGCTCCCCTCCTGAACTTCAACAGCCTTCGCGCCTGCTAACTGGCGCTAAGGCAAACTACCAACTTCATATACCAGTAATACAAAATATTAATCCGAACATAGTCGGAATGCTATATAACAATCAGTGTTACTCAAATTCAGGTTGTATTATAATGTTATGAAAAACTTACCCTCAATTTCGTTTATTTTTTTACATAGAATAGATCGCTTATATTTGTCCTCACGATAGAAGCAGTCATTATGTTAAACATTGAGTCCATTCACCCATTTAGTCGTATAAAAAAATCAAATGGACTTACATAAATTCACTTCAATAAATAACTATAATAAAAAATATAATGTTGATGATAGAAGCGATTTAAATGCATTGTCAGATATGAATACACTTTTTAATAATATTATAATACGACCTATGAATTATATCGAATGATTTATTTAGGTATCTGCTTCCGCATCATACATATATCATTTTCCATCTCCAATATCTGATATAAATGTATGTACAGTACCAGAATAATAGAATATACATAGATGTTAAGATATTTACAACAAATTTTGAACATTGTTAGATGTACCCATTGAGTAAACTCTCGAATCGCTTCTACTGTAATTCGCTGATTTTACGACAGACCATTATGTATGTAAGCTATCCATAGATAGAATCTGTATCTATAACTATAGGTATAATCTATATTTATAGATAGAATATGCCAGAACAATGTGATGTGACAGTTTCCGCTCTACATTTTGGCACCCGACTTTTCCGCCGGTCCGTTTAATAGTATAAATATTTCTATTCATTTATTTTAATAGAACTACAAATGCAAATTAATCGAGTTACTCTAGAAATAACTAAACTTTAGTAATAAACAACAAAATTTTATTTGCACTCACAAAATTCACAGAATTATTTTAGATACTAGTAACTATTTTTCAGTAGATTGTAATAAAAATTTCGATATTTATTGTTAAAGTTTAATAGTCATTTTTTATTCTGAACTTCCGTTTAATACAACCTAGCCAGTTGTATTAACAAAAATGTTGAATAGACAGTTGATGAGTCAAATGCGATCGGGTGCCAATTCGTATCCCAGTGTGGTAAATTACCAAAGATTTTGAATACAGGGTTAAACGTCAAGGATATAGCCTAAAGCCAGTGACAATATTAATGGAACTATCATACGTCTGCTTAATTTCAAATTCTGAAAGAGAAGTTTACTTATTTTATTATATTTGTAGTCATATACAACTTTTATGTTAATTATACTCGTAGTCTTATTAAGAAGTACATTTCTATTTTCACCAGACGAATGTAGTTCCACATTGAAGCACAGAATTAAATTTACACATATACAGAGTGAGAGCTTTCAACCAGTGCTCATTTTGTTAAATTGCATCGAAATACAGCAACTATAAATAATACCTTATTTTCCAGATTCAGTGCTCAATCATATCCTCTGTATATAGTCTCTATGGTGGCACCTAGACATTACCTAAATACGTTACCAATGCGAAATTACGTTAATGTTTAAATAGATTAAGAGTCACGTGAACGCTTTTAATTGTGAGTTTTTTGATCTCATTATAAAATTGTAAAGTGGCAATCATATGTTATTTACTAAAAATTCCAAAATAAAACTCCTTTGTGGAGTATACAATGTAAAAAAAATACTATAAGTAAGTATAGCCGTGGAAATGTTGATACGAGCACAAATATTCATTTCATTTTGATGTCTATAATGTAATTTTAGCATCTATTGATGTTGTGTATCTTATTAGTCAATCATTGTAACAAAGTCGCAATTATATTGTAAATAAATGGACTGATGGAATCATTCCACATTAATTATGATTTCTTTTAGTACAAAGCTATGCCTGTAATGGCTAAGCAACGTAATTATAATAATTCCAGAAATCATTCCTCAACGTCGCTGAATATTTACATTTAATTATATGTTTATTATTTCATATTATATGGTAAGTAGTTATTTTAATTAATGATAATGGAACGGTGTATCCGCCTGCTCTAACGGTTTACGCAGGCGGGGCACCAGTGGAGGATGATCAGATGAGCATGAGGTCAGGTCAGTTAGCCCATCGTGGCTTTAATATTTCCAGGCGAACCGCGTAGAGATCAATCTGACATGGTACATTGCTAGCAATGGGGTCATCAGTTCACATTACTAACAATCCCCTTCCCTCCTATGGTAAGTAGTTACCACAGACAATTATGTAATGGTAAATTAATTATTAATTTGTACGTTTTATTGTAAAATTAATACTCACATATCATATTGGTATAGCACGTATACAAATAGACAAAATGTAATATACCTATTGTCATATAATTGTATTCTAAGTGTATTCTTGCATAGTGTATATATTAGCTTGTATTCATAATGTACAAAATTGTTGTCTATTTTTATGTATTCTAGAGCTGATACTACGAAATTAAATGCAATAGTTGATTGTAAGGTACAAAATGTACCAGAAACATGTGAAATCCGTTATGCCAAAGTCATATAGCAAATTAGTGAATTTGTAAATAAATGATGAATACGTAAAATAAATACTTCACCTACTTATTTGCTAATTATTCACACAGTCGGTTAATATCAAATGTTTATATGTTTATTTATACAAGTTATTATTAACAAATTTATGTTTTATTCAGTATAAATATTTATTAGTTTTCTTATACAAATTTTGACTTAATTATTTATATTATATTTCTAATTATAATATTCTACATTTATATAATTATATTTGGACTCTCTCCACCGACTGTTCTACATATGTATATAGATAGCTAGGTATATTAAAATGTTTTAACCATTTCACGTGTCATAAATATAAATAGAATTAATGTTAAATGTACATAATGTATAAATTGAACTAGTTGTGTTAACGGACCCAAAGACAAACGTGCAATCCTAATGTCATTATTTCGAGTTATATTATTATTATTATAATTGTCACTTCAATAAAATGATGATATATAAATTATCTGTATTTTAATAATCGTTTCCTAACAATATCTGTTTTACACATAACACTTTTTTTATTACTTTCTTCCACTAAAACAGTTAATCTGCTAGAGCTAGAACAATATTTGTATAAAAGTTTATTATTGATTATTTTTATATTATTTTTTTAACTCGAGCAGGAAATAATAGCAATAAACTTTCACGACCACTGTCTTAGATGAGATAGTCAGAGTTTGACTTGTAAATTTTTTATTACTATTAGTGTTTCCATAGCAGAGGGGTCAAATTGTAACTTTATTATGTTGGTCAGGTTCGAACTTACGACTTTTATGGTCCTTAAGTTATGAAATCTAAACTAGCTCGAAATCTAAAGATCACGTTATCATGTGACACCCGTGATATTACTCATACCATTCCAGAGCACGAAAATATCTTGTACTGTAATTTCACTGCCTACTCTACATACAACCGAAACGCAGCTTACAAAGCAAGCTCTTTGGCGGCTCAAATAGGTAAGACTGGACTTTTTACAGTCTACCTCAGTCTAGAAATTCCATCATAGGAAATGTAATAACTATGAACCGCCAAGATCACACAATCAACAATACTCTAAATATAATAAGACTTTTCAACTTTTAAACAACTAAGGCGAATTATAGCAATTTTGATGATTTATCTACCAATGACGAATGGCAATTAACAGGGGAGATTGCTAGTAATTGAAATTAGTGGTTTTATACCAATATATCATCTCAGTCTGTCACGTTCTGACATAAGTACAGCCTTCACCCTAATGTTTGATGACCTGACTTCGCCCTTAAATGTAGTGCTATAATAGCCAATATTCTTTGGCAGTATATATGATAAATACAGATATGACCACTATTCCATCATCATAATCCATAAAAAAATGGAAATTAATATACATATATTATATTACTGTAATTGGAATGGACAAACAGGTGGTCTGTCTACCTGATAGTAAATATCAACCATCGCTTATAGAATAATACCGCAAACACCCCGTTATATCGCTCATACGTTGCCATTCCAGAGACCAATGGTGCCACGCTTTAGTGCTCTGTAATTTCTGATGGAAAATAAACATTTTTTTGTCGTTGACTGGAAGAGATCTCTTCTAGGGATAAGTCCAATTTTGCTCAAATTGTCTCTAACTTATATTATCTGTATAATAAAAAATATATATAAACAATACTGATACTGATATAATGAAATTTTAAAAAAAGAAGCCACTTGTATTCTCTCCGTGGAAATAAAATGTAATCAGACACCTGATAGCGTAAGCGAGTTGAAAGAAAATAAAAATTAAGAAATCAACATTATGTAAATAAATGCTGAAACAACCCTGATATTAATACCGTCTTCCCATTAAGTACAGGGGCCGATTTAAGACCGCCGAGCTAGTTCTCGAGTTACACTGTCGAGTATATACTACCTAAATATAACAATAGATTTTATACAAACTTGTTATTATTTTTACTTTATTATTATTTTATTTTCTCTTTTTTGTGTTACCTAAGGTTGCGATGAAAAGATTCCTTTCAGCAATAAGGCCGTCTTATTGTAATTATACATGTTCTTTGATATATTATTTATGTCTTTTCTTCACTGTGTATTCTATCTATATTTTTGTATCTATGTTTTTCTTTTTTATCTATGTATCTATCTACAAACGTTGTTGTGCCTGCGACTTTATGCGAGTACATTGATAGATATCATCTGTTGGTAACAACTACAATAAGTCTATATAACGCTAATCACTATTAATTAATTAATGAAATAATAAGCGATGTATTGAAAATATTGACAATAAAATGATTAGATTCTTAATAAAAAATATAATATCTGAGTTTCCTAATATGTTAACGTATTACAAAAATGTTAATACTTGAGTAGAACATTAATCAAAGAAAGCAAAATAACGTAGGAGATCTAAAATAATATTTTGAAAAGAGTAACAAGTGATTTTAATTTAATTCAGAAAGTTCTTATTATTTGATAATTGGGAAGACAGAAGAAAATTTCAGTATCTACTACCATGAAAATAGATATTTTCATATGATTTCAAACATAATTTATAAAAAAATCCCTACTATTACTGAACCCTAAAGCAATCCAATTAACCGATACTGATTCCCATCCATTGACAATGTTTGTCTATGCTTTGTGAGTGCCCAATGTTTGCAATGTTATGATCGATTGCTCATTAACTTAATTGTTTATCAATTTTAATACATTTTAGGGATCGTAAACAAGTTGCGCCGTACGTCGATGTTGTACGTAATTATTACTAACTAGCTACGGCCCCGACTGCGTCCGCGAGACAGTGATACAAAGTAACTTAAATATTTATTTATCTCAAATGTAGTCTAAAAAAATGAAAATAAAATCAGACAAACCACGCGATACCATCATAAAAGCTACAACACACACAGGAATCATTGTATAAGGCCAAGAGAATATAGATTGAAGAAGAAGAATGTATTGCGGTATAAAAGTAATATGAATTCTGGTAAAAAACACTCTTAGATATATGTTAATGTCTATTTCACCCGCCAAGCAGTTCCCTTTGTAAACTATAGATATATCTGTTCTGTCTTTAGTTAGAGGGTGAGATATGGCAGTGAAATTACAGTATAAGGAGGTATAACATAAATGCCAATAGATTAATCTACCACAGGCGTCACGTGACGCTGTGATGTAAATAATATGCCACTTACCATCAAGAGAGTCGTTAGCTACTTTGCCATTCCAAGAAATACGATATATCATTGTACAATACGAGTATTTCAATCAAAACCATCCAGTAGTTTTTCTGAGGCATCAATTTCACAATATTCACTTTTATAACTTTAGTGAATTGCTTTACTTACTAAAGATTTGCTTTAACTATTTATTATTTAAGTTTCAGAAATTCAGAATTATCTTAACAAATATTCAGTAGGGTGAACCTCGAGTCAATTTGATTACAAACGTACGTACATACAGAAGAAAAAAAAATTGTTAGATTTAGAAATAAAGCGGGAAGGAGCCAGCAAACTGTTCTCTCTCGAGGGGTCGAGTGGACGCTAAACGCCTGTTAGCACGCAGTAGACACAGGGACGCATTGGGGATCTCTGCTATTGTTCTACGCCAGGGGCGAACTAGGAAGGATGACAAAACATTGCAAATAGGATTTATATAAAATATTTGTATTTTTTATGTAATCATTTAAGTAATTAGTACTTAATTTATTATTTGTATTATAGGTATTAGAATATTGTACAAATCAATTCCAGATCGTATTATTATTACTAATAACATAGTGTACGATCTGGTATAGATAGATAGTGTACGATCTTCAGTCATCTAGCTGTCTAACATGTCGCTTCCTATAGTCGGGGGTTTAATCCTGACTCAATACTACTACATTTTTTTACTA